TTCTCTCTCTCAAATTGCTAAACTTGTGAAAGCTTAGCTCCCATGCCACATGCTCCTCAAGCTAAGCCATTAATGAAATCCTCATGCTTATTTGGGTGTTAGTGAAGTGATCCTGAGAGTGTTCTTTTAAAATCTCATTAGATTTTCTAAAAACTCTCTTGGGAGCTTGTTTTTCGAACTCAGGCATTTGGGGGATTTTGCTCATTGCCTTCTCACAGCAGCCCAGACCCATTCGTCAGGCTGCTGGAACAAAAAACCCCCTACAGAGGGTCAAGGGCCAAATGTGGTCCTCCAAATTTGGCCAAATTTTTTTTTTAGCCCATGGCTGAAGATGGCTTTTGCATTATTTTAGGGCTATATTTGACCTATGTCCCCTGGCTGGAGATGGCCTTATGTCTTGTTGACCAATCCAGTTTAAGATGATTTTCTCGACCTACAAAAGTTTGTCAAAGAAAACTCACTCAGACTTTGTTTTCAACTATAAATAAATTGTGTGAAAGAAATTCCAAAACAAAACGGAACGCAAGTAGTTCTCAGGGATAGTCGATTCTCGATTCAATGGTAAAATTTCCTTGTAGAATAATTTGTAGAATCCAAGTAGCAAAATAATGATGGGACTCTAATAAAAGTCCCTAGTGAATCCATATATATAAAGCAAAAGGCAAAGAATGGTTAAACATTCAAAATATCTGAAAATTCCATTGGTTAATTCAAATATTAAGAATTGAAATTATTAATTAAATGAGGATAAATATGGTAAATTCACATTTTTTTTCATATTAAAAAATTAAAATTAAAAACAAAATCATATAATAGGTCCTACTTTTATGAAACAGAACTACTTATCTTTTTTTAATTCAAAAAAAAAAGAAAAAAAAAAAGCACATGCATGAGAATATTCCAAAGGGCTAGTATTCAATACAAAAAGAATAATATAATAAAATAAAAAAATCTTGTCCCATAGACATGATGGGTCTCACAGTTGGGTCACGATATAAGATATTAAAGTAGTCAAACAACTTGGCTTATGATACCAAGCACAAATTATAATTAATGGTGGGAAATATTTGCTCCTTTGATATGTCATCATTAATCTTAATCATTACTTAAGTAGATTTTCATTTGAATGCGAAATCATTTAGAGAAGAGTTGGCCTCTCTTTTCAAAAAAAAAAAAAAAAAAAAAAAAAAAAAAAAAAGAGTTGGCCTCTTTTAGGAGTTGGAATATCCTCATTTTTTATATTTCATTTTCATTTTCACTTTGCAGTTTTCATTTTCATTTCATTTTTTTTAAACTGAAAATTAAAAACATTTTTGGTAACATATTTCGTTTTCAAATTTCAAAAAAGTGAAATCTAGTTTTCAAAATCACCCATATTTTTTTTTTTTTTTTTTTGGTAAAAGTCACCCATATTTTTTAAAACAACTTGAAAGTGTTTTCAATTTTTTTTTTTTTTGCGCTCCTATTTCATTCATTAATTTTACATCACGACACATGAAATACACTCAAGTTATCAAACTTTGGTATTTGGGACCTCCCGACTTGGACTTGGTCGCTCAATTCTTGCATTTGGCTACAGACCCAATCCAAGCCTGAGAAACTCCATCTCCAAAATTCACCAAAAAAATCATCCTAATTCAAAAAATTCACCGAAAAATACTACGAACTCCTTCTAATATGCATTTTCATTCTATGATATCAAATTCACAATTGGACCCCAAAACTTCCATTTCCAAGTTTCACATAAAACTGAAAACTGAAAATTGAATAAGTTACCAAACATCTTGTGTTTAGTTTTCACTTTTCACTTTTTTTGAAAATTGAAATTAGTTACCAAACAAGTATTCAGTTTTTGAAAAATGAAAAATGAAAACTGAAAATTGAAAATTGAAAAATAAAAAACTGAAAACTGAAATGGTTATCAAACGGGCCCTAAATGAAGTAAGAGGTAGTTAAAGTTTTGGTATTGGAAGGTGAAGTGAATGCATCTTTATACAAGGGCTTGTGCATTGTTATGGGCAACAAAAGGTCTACATTTACTAAGAACTAGGATTGATTTTGTAGAGATCTGAAGAAGTAGAAGTAGCAGAAGAACCAATCCACGTTGCATCCGATGAACGAATGAGGCTCTGAGTTCCAGTTGAGCTCTCTTGTGCAATCTGATCAAACTGGTTTCTCAGAGCTCTTAACCTCATTTCATCACCATAAATGCTTTGGATCCATAATCAGTTCATGAACAGCAGTCTTCCCTTCAAGCATACTCACCACTGCAGACATAGTAGGCCCAAAAGCTCTCACTACGAGTTTGAGGTGTTCAAACTTTCCTCTCCCAGCTCTAATTCCTTAGAACTGAAACCGATACATGCCATGCCAAGTTGAATTGACAGATTGATCTTGACAATTGTATCGTACGTAAAATTTGAAGGGCTTTTGAATCACTTAAAAATTCATGCCTTTTTTCCCCACTTTGCTCAGCTTGGTCACATAGAGATAGAGCTTGATCTTTATGTGTTTGCAAAAACCCAATATTTTTATTTGAAAAGATATGTACTACTACTAGTTAGTTTATCATTACACGAGCATTTGCATAGTTAAGGGCGAAGAAATGTTTATTATGAAGAGTTCATGGGTAGAACTTGCCTCTAAAAGCCTACTTGTGAGAAAATAATGTTTAAGAGCTCATAAACCACTCTAGGATATGCTATTTTTCCAACGTGAAATCTTGAGTCCTAGCATTTACATTAGCAAGAACTAGTACTGGGATTGATTTTATAGAGATCAGAAGACGTAGTAGTAGCAGAAGAACCAATCCATGGTGCATCTGATGATGAAGGAACAATAAGATGAGTTTGACTTGGATTCTGTGATGAATTGTGATCAAACTGGTTTGTCAAGGCTGTTAGCCTCAGTTCATCACCGTAAGTACTTGGATCCGTGACCAATTCATGAACAGCCGTACGTCCTTCAAGCATACTCACAACTGCAGACATGGCAGGCCTAAGCGCTGGTGCTGCGTTGATGCATAAGAGAGCAACTTTAATCATCCTAATGGCCTCTTCCTCACTCACATCGGACCCCAATCTTGGATCCACCAGCTCCAATAATTCCCCTTTTTGTTGTAAAACAAGAGCCTGAAATTTAGCAGAGAAAAGAGATTTGAAAATGGAAAAGCAACTCATAGAAGGAAAGAAGGATGACCAAGTTGGAAGGAATGTGAATGAAGATCCATCTTACCCAATCCAGAAGGCATACGAAGTTCTCATTTGGTCGATATTTCATGTTGCTCTTTCCAGCAACAATTTCCAATGTAACAACACCAAAGCTGTAGACATCTGCTTTGTAGGTCAAATAACCCCATAGTGCATATTCTGGCGCCATATATCCTCTGCACACAAAAAACGATTGTTTTCCTCAGTTGGGTGGAGAAAAGTTCATAAACAAAACTAGGCTCTGAAATGCAGTTCAGAGAAAAAAACAGTATAGCTTACATAGTTCCAGCAACTCTAGTGCTAATGTGGGTGTTCTCCTCTTCGTCAAGCTTGGCCAACCCGAAGTCCGAGATCTTGGAGTTAAGGTCTCGGTCTAGTAATATATTTGTAGTTTTAATGTCTCTGTGTACAATCTTCAGTGCTGATTCCTCATGCAAAAAAGCCAGACCTCTTGCTATGCCTATGCATATATTCTGCCTTGCAGGCCAGTCCAATTTTAAAGGACTTTCCTCCGGAACTGCAACAAACATGGATTCCCAATCAATGATCTCATTTTTGTTTTTCTTAATACACCATTTCAGTTTTTTGCCACTGGACTTGATAAGCTTACCGAACAAAGCACGTGCAAGGCTGTTGTTTTCCATGTATTCATATACCAACAGTAACTGGTTTGATTCAATACAGCATCCATACAATCTAACAAGATTTGGATGTTGTAAACCAGAAATCATGCCTATTTCATTCACAAATTCTCGATTTCCTTGCTTTGATTTGGATGATAGTTGCTTAACTGCAATTATAGTACCATCCAATAATATACCCTGAAATAAATACAGTTTAGTAGTTTTCAAGCATGATAAGTAAGGCCTATAAGTAAGGAACTATTTATATGGCACCTTGTAAACAGATCCAAAACCGCCTTCCCCGATTTTGTTTAGAGGATCAAAGTTATTAGTGGCGGCTTTAATTTGCTTGAAGGTGAAAAAACCAGTTTGCAGATCCAGTCCCCTCAGAGCTATCCACAAAACAAGGTTAGAATATATTGGTAGTGTCGTTGAACTTAGTATCTGGGTATGTGTTTTCTAGCTAAATGGCATTAGAAAGACTGAGACCAAAGTACTACTTGAAATTTTCACAGTAACTTAGTGGCACCTTTTTCCCTAGATATCTTGCTATCCAGACAGCCTTTCCACCAAAGAACGCTGTAAATCAAGAAAATGAGGAACAAGACCGAAGCTCCAACTGAAGCTCCCACTACAATAGGTACTTTGCTTTTGCTACCATGAGGAGGCTTGAACTCTAGCAAATAAAAAAGTGAAAAGAAAAGATCAGCAACAGAGAATACAAGTTTCAGTTCTATGAGATGCCGTCATAAGTCCGGTATATCAATTCATAGAAAGAGATAAATTGCTCAGTTTCTTGTTATTTAAGGTAAACAAACTGTATTTGATGTACTATATATTTTCCCATCTATTGCAATTAACATTTCCTGTATGGAAAGAATACAAACAAGTAGGATATAATAATTTTTTTAAGCAAATCTAAGATTGTGTCCATGAGAGAGAGTTAATGTTTCCAACTCAGAATATACCAGGCTCTATAGAGATAGCAGATATAAGAGGACCATATGTTCCTCTCTTTGGAGAAGCTGTTGTCCCTTTCCCAGACCAATGAAATCGGATCTCTAAAGTTTTATTCTTAACCTCCACTGCTTTACTTTCCTTAATGAGTTCTTTATCAACGCCGTGTGCTTCCTTTTTAATTTCAAAATCCTTCCACACCAGTTTCTCCTGTAACAAACTTATCAATCAGAAATCATATTTTGTTGCATATAGTGTACAAACAGTATGCTTGACTACCTGAATATAAATATCAAATATCCGTCTTCCAACACTACGAAAAGATCTATTGCCTCTGATCGTTATCTCTGAAAAGTGAAGTTTCACGGTGTAATTGCCGTTTTGAAAGCAGCGTGCGTAATACGTGAGAGAAAGAGGAGAGAGGCGTGCACTTGTGTACAACTCAGAGTCGTTCATTTTAAGTATAGATACATTATTTGCAATGTAGTCTGTAGCAGTGGTGGTAAAATCCCAGAAATGTCCAGTGGTACTGGTTCCCCAGATAGGTCCCTGGCGAAAGAATTTTGCTGCACCTCCTGGGTCTTGATCATCTTCAAAGGTGACTCCTTCAATGGTGGTTCGTTTTCCACCACAATTTATATGCAACGAGTACTGATCTGTTCAGTAGCAAGCAACAGAGAAATGACATCATAAAAATTCTAATCAGATTAAGTCAAATAGTTGACTACTTAAAATTCAAATTAGAAAGTATTGTATTGATTGTAAACAAATAGTTTCTGTCATTGTCACATGCAAACTTAAATTATGGACTAATTCTTTTACCAGAACTTTAAAATATTAAATAATTAAAAAAGCAAAGCCAAGTTGTATTGTATTGTTACCTTCTGGACATGGAAAGTTCCTCAAGCACACTCCAAATGATCTACATTAGTGTGGTACACAATCAGCTGATGCAAATTTAAATTCCAGAATATATGGAAAGGACAAAAATGGCTTCACCAGTGAAGATTAAAAGTTTAGAAGCTTACGAGTTTCTTTGTGCAGAAAAGCTTTCAAACAAGTTTCTGATAAATATTTCAAAGAAAAATGCATTATTATAGGTGAATGAGGACACCAAAGTATGCTAAATAATCACTAACTAGAAATATGTTCTTACAGGTTTTCTAGGCAAGTAGTTGGCTCAGAGCTCTCAGAAAAATTATTGTAAGAAATATCTGTCGGGCTGCATACAATACAATACTTTGGAGTATCAATAAAAATTGCATTTTGGAGTATCAATAAAAATTGCATTTTGGACCTCTAACTATATTCTCTGCGTAAACGTTACGCTAACTTAAAAGTATATATTTCCGCAGGCTTCAATAAGAAAATAGAACTCAAGAAATTCTGTATAGGATGGAAAACATACTAGTGACGATCTCTGCTCTTCATCCAGTCTGGAACAGAACCGGCAAGCCAGTTGCTTGTTAGATACCTATCAAATGCATAATGACATTATGTAAAATATATGTACATATAATATAGCGTTGTAATTTAATATATGTAAATATCATATAGGCAGGGGAGGCCGCCCCGCTATGCATTATGATGTCTGCTGGTGACCTTCATGAAATTCACATTTCTTACAAGTACTGCACGCGTTGCAAATGTTCATAGTCAGGACTATTAATATTTCCTTCCAATTTGTTGAAGCTGAGATCTCTGCAAGAAATCAACTAAAAAGATTATCATAACTCATAAGATCCCAAAGATCCATTACTTGGAAGCTTAAATGAACGAAAAAAACTATCATTAATCAACTTGCGCTGTGCACTTGAACAAGATGAAAAACAAAGAATAACAGTGTTACAATCTATTCAAATTTTCCATTTCTGATATATAAGCAGGGATAGGTCCATATAAATTGCAGCTCCTCAGCACTCTGCAACATAACTTCGTAATATTAGCCTAACTCAGCTAAGAGTCTTACATTACAATATGAAAATGTAGAACAGTTTCAAGACGTACAAGTATTGCATGCCCATTATATTACGCAAGGGTGGAAATTTTGAACCCCCTCCATTTAAGTTACCGAACTCTCTGCATTGAATTTCACCATGAATCATTGTAAGAAAAACAAGTCACTGTGGTATGAAGTTATCATAAAATTTTCAAATCAGGATTAAGGTTCTTTAGTGTTAATGCAATGCAGAACTCACAGTGCTTTTAAATTACTCAAGACAGAAATGGTAGACGGAATGGGCCCACTGAGACCACTAGCTCGGATCTCTCTGTCAACAACAAAATTCAAAATCAATCAAGATTACACAAGAAGGGTTGTTAGAATATGTTATTGGAGGACACTTACAACATCTCAACTTGTTTAAAATTTTCCAAATAATCAGGTATTCTTCCCGTGAAGTTGCTGCAGATACCAAGGCCAGTCTTAATAACTTATCCACTGCAACTTGCTTTACCCTTAATATTAAAAAGAAACTGTGGATGCAAAAGAAAAAGGGAGCTTACAAAATCTCCAAGTTAACCAAATTCCCAAGCTCAGGAGGAACAGTTCCAGAAAACAGGTTCATCTCCAAGTTCCTGGAATTAAATTCTTCGTCACAGCAGGCAAACCGAAATGAAACTTAAAGTTGATTTGACAAATAAAAAAGAGTGGTCAAGAGAGATAGAGGCAGAGCATACAGATTGATTAGAGTGGTAATGTTCCCCAAGTAGCGAGGGATTTGTCCTGACAAGTTGTTCGCACTCACGGACCTGCATGCAGTTTCCTCATTTTCTTAGTAAAATTAATAAAAGCAATTAGAATTGGCTAACCTTGAACTTGAAGGTCAGAAGTCATTTTACAGAAGTTCCAACTTTGTAGAAGCCCATTCAGGCGGTATAGTACCACTGAGGTAGTTCAAGGAGAAATCACTGTAAAAAAGATAAAATTAAAATAAAATTATACTATTATTAAGCTTTGCAGATTATTAACTGAGAAAGATTTCCCTTACACTTGTGTTATGTAGGGCAACTTTGCAATAGATGGTGGAAGTACACCACCAAAATCTTGCCCTCTAAGAAAACTGTATAACAAAAATGTTCAGCGCTCATAAACTTCAAAACCCACATGCACAATTGCACATACACTGATTTAATGATAGGCATGCACAACACAACTCAAATGTAATTCACCCAAAGAACAAAAAGAAAAATCAAATCAAATCTCTTGCATGCTATAGTTGAGTGGACTATTCTGCAAACACAATGTCCCACTCCTAATTACTCTAATGTACGTGAAAGGGGGATTCGAACTTAAGTGCAAGAGGATGGGCTCACTACCTTGGCCAATTGGCGTAATCCACAACTGTGCCAAATTAGATTAAGGTTTATAGTGAACAAGAAAAGGAAAATTAATTTCATAGATAAACCAACAGAAAACATATAAATAAGTAAGCTTTGAGTTGACGTACATGCTGACAACGTGGCAAAACCCGTTGGGATAGGAGCAGTTGCATTCGAGGGTCTTGTTGTAGATAGGGTTGGCAGTAGAGTTTAGGGTATCCCAGTTTGTGTAATTGAAGCATGGGTTTATGTTGAAGTTCCAGTCCGTTTTCCCCAGTTGGTTTGCTATTTCTTTTAGTGCTTCCTCTGCGCAAGCAAATCAAACCCATGATCATATAATTGAATATTTTCCACCATAATCAACTCAAATAGCATTGATTAGATCCTGTTTGTTTAATTAACCCAGGATTATCAAAGATGATATCCAAACAATTTGTGACATATGGTAATACCAACTAGGAGGTCATATTGATTTAAATTTGTGACATGGTTAGAAGTTCGAATTTCCCACCTCATACATTGAATTTTTTTATTTATAATAAAGATGAGGAAATATTGGATATAGGCCTTCAATTATGAGTGCGTATGCCTGATTGATCAAAAATATTATGAGTGCATAGGCCTGATACTGGGCCAACTTGGGCTGGTGCCAAAAAAGTGACCAGGTTTATTTTTCGTTTTTAAAGAAAAGTAGTGTGACGGGGCTTGGGCCTTCTGCCACCCACCATTCTAACTAGGACTGGGCATTCAAACCGATACAGTCAAACCGCCCAAACCAAACTGATGGTTTGGGTTGGTTTGGTTTTTTTTCAATCTTTTTTTGGTCATCGGTTTGAACTCAAAGCAAACCGAAACATATGGTTTGGTGTACGGTTTGCAATATTCAAAACCACGGTTTAACCAAACCAGACTGAAGATATTAAAAAAAAATATTATATATAATATTATTATAAGAAATATATACATATATATATAATACATAGTTTCAATCTTTTCTTTTTCTTATCTCTCAATCTCTCCGTTTGTCTTGTCTTCAACAGTCCCTCTCTCTCTCTCTCTATTTTTTTTTATCTCTTTCTTCTTACGTCTATCTTCACTCCCTCTCCCCGTCTCCCTCTTCTTCTTTTTTCATTCTTCTTCTTCTCCTCCTCTCTCTTTTCTTTTTCTCTTCTTCTTCTTCTCCAACTCTCCCTTCTTTTTTTTCTTCTTCTCCTGTCCATCGCTTTTATTTCTCTCTCTCTCTCTCTCTCTCTCTCTCTCTCTGAAAGCCAAAAAATCGAAACCGAACCAAACCAAACCACCAAGTCCAGTTAACCGAAATGGTCGGTTTTCATTAATTATGGTTTGGTTTCGGTTTTCAAAATGGCCAAATCGAGGCCTACGGTTCGGTGTTCGAGTTGAGCCCAATACCGAACCAAACCAAACCGAGCCCACCCCTAATTCTAACCTAGTGAACCTCTCTAGAAGATACAGATCATGCTCTGTATCTCTCTCAATCATTGAATTTCATATCCATTTCCACTTGTAATTATGAAAGAAAATTCAGGTCCAACTCTTTAGCTTCTTTCATTTCGTTTTCGATTATAAAGTTGTACCCTTTATGCTTTTAGATCAATATAAATTTAGGATGAAAACAAGTTCTTTCTTTTTTTAAATCTTTTTTGTAAGTTTATATCTAATCTAACCAACATGTAAAATTATATGGGTTCTAATTTTTGTTTATGCTGACAAACATTGAACTGGGAGTGCTCTAACACTGTAACACTAGAAAGGCTAAAATCTTCTACCAACTCTCAATCAAAAAGACCAATTTTTGCGTTGAGCATCTGTTCTCTGATGTTCAACACAACCAGTGGCGGATCCAGGATGGGAAAGCCAACTGGGCGGAACTTACATATTAAATTTGACGGTACGAGTGAATTTCATTAATAAGCAGAAAAAAATACATCTAGTCATAGGGTCATAATGAGTTTTACCCTCAAATACATCTATACATAAATAAAAACTTAACAACAAAAATAAAAACCACAAGTAATTTCAACAAAATCACAAAATTTTAAATCAATCCCTACATAAATCCTAGAATACTCAATTTTAAATTAAAACTATAATTAAAGATATAGAAAAATTAGATAATTAGAAAATACTTTTTGTTGTAGAAAGTAGAGGAAAATATACTTCCAAGTTGTCCACTGCCCAGCCAAGATAACAAGAAGATGCAACAAATAAAAGGGGAAAGAATATGTTGTTGCCGTCAGATTGCCATAGAATAGATGAGATAAACAAGCTGATGTGATGTAGCCAAAAAGAAGAGAGAGAAGATATGAGACCACTTCCTCTTGGATGGGCAACATGTGTATTGGGTTAGCTTTTATTTTTTAAATTTTGGGCTGCCCTTATAACATATGTAGGTTTTAAAAATTTTAAAAAAATTTGGGATGGGCAGGTTCCCATCCTGCCCTGTGCATAGATCCGCCACTGAACACAACTCAAAAAAATACCCCAGGCTTCATTTTTTTTCAAACAAAAACAAAAAATGAGGCTTTAGTGCATAGATTTTGAGTATCAGCAATACCAACTTGAAAAAACATTCAGAAGAAGAAGAAGAGATTGTGCTTCAACTATGACTGTGGATATGCGGAAGCAGAGGACCAACATGGCTACCAAAATGACAAGGTCCATGGTGGCTTTTGAAACATAATGAAATCTTGCCATATCAATCCCCAATGTAATATATCAATTCCCTGATATCTGTATTATCCTTATTCTTTCTTGGCTCAATCTCAGTCTCGGTCTCTATTGTTAATGAAGGGTCCCTCTGAGCCTTATGAGCCAATGACTTTTGATGGGTGTGTTTTTGTTGTTATTCCTTTTTTAGGATTTTTTTTTTTTTTTTTTTGGGGCCCATGAAAAGTTTCGAATCTTTTTTTGGTACATGAAATTTGACAATGTGGACCCTTTGATTATTCTACAAGGTTTTTTTTTTCGGGGCCCATGAAAAGTTTCGAATCTTTTTTGGGTAAGTGAAATTTGACAATGTGGACCCGTTGATTATTCTAAAAGGTTTTATAACACAAAATGTCTCGAGGTTCACAAAACTATCAAATTGAGTCTTTTTTTTTTTTTTTTTTTTTTTTGTCATTCGTGGTTTTCAATGTTAATATGTATGCTCACAAATAACTCATGTCGTCAGGTTCCATCAAAATCTCTATTAGTTTGCTGATGTGGCATATATGTGGAGTCCACATATCTAATAATACAGTGCTACGTGTATTTAAAATAGAATATATATGTATATTTAATCATTTAAAATTTAAAATTCATAAAAATAAAAAAAATGAAAAGACCAAAAGAAAAGTTGTATTTTAAAATTTAAATTATTTTTAACAAATATATATTGTATTTTAAATCCATATGGCACTATATTATTGGATATGTGAGCTCTATATATATGTCATATCAACAAACCAACAGAGTTTTTGACAGAATGACTATTTGTGAGCACACATATTAACCTTGAGAACCATGAATAACACACACACACACACCAAAAAAAAAAAAAAAAAACGAGGATATAATCTGATAGTTTCGTGAACCTCAAAGACGTTTTGTGATAAATAAATAAAAAAACCTATTCTAAAATCTGACTTTCCTAGTGATTACTATTAACATATGAGTATTTGAATTATTCCCTAATTCTGTTGCATTTACTAACATACAAGAATAAAACTTGAAGGAATTTCACATTAAAAGAAACAATCCAATACCTAAAAAGAAACTAGATTGATTGAATGGTAGTAGTTGATTTCATGCATATTCATTCTTTTACTTATTCCTTAGTTCCTTTATTCGAAATAATTGAACACGTTATAAAGAGAGTTTCATGTTGTAAATTGAACAATAGTTGAGAAAACAACCTTTGAATATGAAAAAATTCTTAGTTTTGAGAGAGATAGAGAGAGAGAGATATATATATATATATATATCATCAAACTCAAATGGGTTATGTATTTTAATTTTTGTAATGGTTGATATCAATGGATGAGATGAAACGTGTTAGTAAAGGAAGAAAACAACCTTTGAATATGAAGAAATTCTTAGTGTGTGTGAGAGAGAGATAGCATCAAATTCAAATGGGTTATGTATTTTAATTATTGTAACGGTTGATATCAAATAATGAGATGAAACGTGTTAGTAAAGGAAGAAAACAACCTTTGAATATGAAGAAAATCTTAGAGAGAGAGAG